ATATAGTAGGAGTTCAGTAATCATTTGGTGAGTGAGTGGGTCAACAGCCTTTTGTGAGGCCACTGAAAGTGTCTTTGCCCAAATTTCAGACCTCTGGTACACTTCAGTAGTTTAGTGTCTGGGACAGTGGATTCCATTCATCAAAGGTAGTAAGTTATATGCAAACTGAGTACACTTAAAATGTAATTGCTGAAACAAGTGAAATAGCATCTGTAAACCTGTTATCTACAAAGTTTTAAAAATAAATAGATTTTTCATGCAAGAAAAAAGTTTACATCACTCATGAGAAACCTAATCCTAGCTGCACAAAATGAGCTATAATAGCCTTTATATATAAATATGTGTGTGTATATATATATGTAAAACACTTTTAAAAACTCATTCTCTCAGGTTTTATTTTTCCCCCCTAATGATAAAATACTATATTGACAATTTTAAGATTTGGGTTCTAGGCTTTATTCTTCTTAACTGACATAATTATGGACAATTCATTTAACTGCTGAGTTAATTTACTAATGTGTATTAAACTTCATGGACCCAAAATGAAGGTGGTTTTATTTTTACTTTTGTTCCAGTCAGTACATGTACATAGCAGTAAGTTATGAGGCCCAAAGACTTTGATATGGAAATACTCCTCACCATCTCACCACTTGAAGTTTTATTCCCCTGGTCTACTGTTTTCCACTATTTGGTTTGGGTTCTTGGTTTTTGTTTTTTTATTATTTTTTTTTTCTTTCTTCTGATGACTATGGTAATAAAAGGTGGAGAAGATCTGATTCTCTGCTGTGAAAAAGAAAACACACATAACAGTTACCTTTCTTCTAGAGATGGCATGTTCTAGCAAGGCTTCAATTCATACTTTTTTCCTGTTCCAACTGTCTTTCTGGTTTATGGTAAACTTTAAAAATTCAGATCCATTCTTCAACTGTGACTAAATTGGACAAAATCAGTTCAAAGCCCTGATGAATTCTTAACAGTTAAGAATGGATTTTATTCATAACCCAGAAACTATGTATTTTATTTCAGTTGCCTGTGAGG